AGCTATTAATGCAGCTTTTAATGCAGTTATTAATGCAGTAATTAATGCAGCTATTAATGCAGTTATTAATGAAGCTATTAATGCAGCTATTAATGCAGCTATTAATGCAGTTATATAAATTTTTTAATGCAGTTAAAAAATGTAGTATCCCTTCAAAATTTGCAAACAGCTGACTTTTTTTCTTCATTAAAAATCACTTTTAAATGAACCGTTTCATGGAAATGATCCAGATCAGACCGCTCTGGCAAGATTATCCATGTGAACATCTCTGTGCCATCAATGTTTGTACTTCTGACAGTCTATTGGAAAAGTGCAACAGTAAAAACCGATTGATCTGCCATATACCGTGAAATATGCGCAAAATACCGCATTTCATATAAATTTACTGTAAAGGTCTGTAAAATGTATTGTTTTTGGTTGTAAATTCTCTACATTGCCATATAATATAGCCTCGCGAAAAACAGTAAAAGGATATTATTTTTCTTATTGTTATTTCTAGATCTGCTTCTGATAGCTGTGTTGTTGTTGTTTTTTTTACAATAATTGAACTGGATCTGTTTTATAGTGTAGTTCTGTCGACCCAATAGAGATGAACTCTTTCAAAAACCCTCGTTGTTTTTAAGCCTGAGATATTGTGATATTCCCCTCTTATAACTTCAGTGTATTTTAACTGTAGTTAAACCTCTTCTATAGTCAGCGTGACAAACTGCTCTCATTACTTACCGTCTGTGTTGCTGAATTAGATGAATATATCTTCCTCTGAGTCTGGTGTTCACCATTCACTCTTTCTCTCTTCTTCCTCGGCTTATCTTATTCATTTCACTTGTTCCATCGCTCCTAAATTAATTCTATTTAATTGTTTCTTATTCTCTTCCTCTCAGTTGTGTTTATCTCCATTTACTCTGATTGACTTCACATTATCCGTCCTTTCATCGTGTTGCCACATCCTCTTTTCCCTCCATTTATATTCCTGTCCTGTTTTATTGTAAATAAGTATAATTTATCACTCTTGCCTCCATTACGTGCACCTGTCACGCCGCACAACCACTCAATACAGTCGTTTTAAAGTCAGTGAGCATCATTTTATAGTCTGTGATGTCTCTATTTATGCAATATCAAAGAAAAGACAAAACATTCAATAGTGGTCGTCAAGGTTGCATTATGCTTTTATTTATGCATTATGCATTCTGCTCTTATCCAAAGTGACTTACATTGGATTCGAGGTTTGCATTTTTTCAGTTCATAGTTATATTGTGTTGTATTTATTGGTGTAAAATCTATACGTGAGGTATAACAGCCAGATGATCACATAGAAAAGGTGATCTGATGATGTTGGATGTGTTTTAACATAATCATTACATGTTAAAACACGACATCTTGACACTTGGTCAGGTGGAACTCGGGATTGAACCACCAACCTTCTGGTTTGTAGACAACCTACATGAGCCACTGCCACTCTTAAGTTTACCTTATGGATTATAGCATTTAGCCATTTCAAAGGAATCAAAATGATCAAATCAATGAAAAAGAAACTTCTAAAAAACAAATTAGTTTATGTAGGCACACACAGACATCAAGAATCAGCCTGTGAATCTCAACAGTGGTGACTATCATAACGCATGTTGCAGTGCATTCTGGGTGCCATCAATCAAAACTCATTTATGGCTCCCATCATGCATTTCTGCATGAATAAATAATGAGCTAATGTTCAGATCTGCTTGTCACCATTGCTGAGATACATACGCTAAATATTGATGTCTGTGTATGCATGCATACAAATAGTTTTTGTTTTTAGTTTTTTTTTTCTTTTTGATCGTTTGGATTGGCTAAAAAAATGTATGCTCTACAATGGCAGTGCTGCTATAATCCACAAGTTAAAATTAACTCAGAAAATTGCTTCTGTATGAGTTCAGTGATTCAGGTCAAATGACTGTGATATAATGATGAACAACATCCACAGATCACATTTTCTAGTTGATTATCTGGCTGTTATAGCTCAGATACAGCAGCCAGACAAAATATAAAGTTAATAATGTAACTAAAACAAACACTCATCTCCATAATGGTGACTTTAAATTCCGGTTTTGTCTTTCAGTGATTCTGCGTGTTAACACCAGAATCCTCCACATGGCCTGCAGAGTGATTTTGTGGGCTCAAATTCTTTTGTTGTAAGACTTCCCTGCCATAACATTTCAATTACGACATAAAAGTTTAGATTATGCAAATTACCACATATTTTAATAGATAATGCCTCATTTGCATATATAAACATGCCATTTCAGAAAACTTGTAATACAAAAAATGTTTGTCTCTACATAACTGAAAAACTGGAAAAGTTTTATGGTTGTATCTATAACTTACAAATTTTACCCTATCCACCTGTAGTGTTTCGGCTGTGAATAATGCACCTATTGTTTCGATAACAATTACAAGAAAAATTGACCCTTATTTCAATGTTATATGTTGGATCCTAATTCAGGACATATTGAACTTTCTAAAAATGTGATATAACAACTTTTCCTCAAAATTGCCTACAGGGTTACACAATCTTGGAGATTAAATTGGACCTGACTATTGTAAAGTGTTACCAAAAAAGGATATTTACTCTGGTTTCATGATGTTTTCGTATCACATCATGCCTCATAGTTCATTACAAGCCCTTCATTTTGGTTTCCATCACGGTATAACATTAAAAAAAAAAGATCCACAAACCATAAAAATGCATTTACATTTATGTATTTGGTGAAGCTTTTATCTAAAGAGACTTGCATTGTGTTGCGTAATGTAATCAGAACATAATATTGTGCTTTAATGAAAACAAAACCACTGCAATGTTTCTGTGAAATGACATTCGGACACTAGCGTACCGTACTCGAAATGTGCCGTGTCCCTTTTAGACACAATAGCACAAATCAAACATAAGACATCCTTTTAGCCGTAATTAATACATATATCTTTGCCTATATGTAAGAAACTCAAGTGTATCTGTGGACTGTTCATTACGTTATAAAGCCTGAGCAGAACATGAAACACACACAGCAGAGGATCAAACGACTCTCTTCCGCTTGTGTAAGGCCCGGAGGAAATAAACACACTGACATAGTAAGGCTTTGCTAAATATAACAGTTACGCTTTTAAAATGCAAATGAGGCGGAGTGAGTTTCAAAAACGTGGCGAGAGAGAGACCTATGTCCACAGTCTGAGAGAGAGAGAGAGTCCCAACATGATTAAAACTCTAGCCAAACTCTTTAATCTGGTGATGTGATCCGGTGTTCTGACAATTCATGCTACCCATCGAGATTTGCTACTTACCGGTTATGCGCATGTGCAGACTTTTTTTTTATTTATATATTTTTTTACAAAAGGTACATTTTCCTGTTATAATGTATAATTTCCCTTTAAAAAAATGCTTACTATCATATGAATATTTGTACGGTCAGCCAGCTGAAAAGGAATAAATGAAAGTTTCAGTTACTATGAGGAAAGGTGCTTTGACAAGTCAAAGATGAATATTTTATGATAATTTTTACTTTTCACACCGTTTTAAAAATAAAAACAGTAGTCTACAGTATACAGCAGCTACTCATAACTTAGAATTGTATTATAATTGTATTTCATACGACTTTAATCGGCATTCTGTGATCAATTCGCGCTACGGTAGCATTTTTCGACAAGGCAGCAAAAATTGGCAGAACAACGGAACCGTCTCTACACTCTTAGAAGAAAAGGTTCTATATAGAACCTTAAAAGGTTCTATCAGCGCTACGTATTTGGAACCCCTAAAAGGCTCTATACACTCTTTAAAAGGGTTCCTCTGGGTTCTATATAGAACCCTGGGGTTCCATACTTGGCCAATAGAACCTTTTACCAAAAAATGGTTCTATATAGAACCATTTTGCAGTTCCATATATGAAGCGGGGGATGGAACCATTTCTGGTTCTAAATAGAACCATTTCTTCTAAGAGTGTGAGAGCTGGTCTGAAGGACTCATCACAACCGTATTTAAGAAAGGTGATCAATTCGACCCCAATAATTATGGTTATTATTGACCCCAATTATTATGGTAAATGATCAGTGTGGGCAGTGCTTTAGGAAAACTGTTCTGCAGGATCATAAACACATGCATCGCCTCACACATCTCATCACACAACATTTGAAATAAAGCACAGATTGGCTTTCTACCCAAACACTCTCATCAACAAGAACATCAACGACAAACAAAGACATTCGATTCAATCCGGCATGATGTCTATACTGTACAAAATCCTATTGCCATTGGCGGGAAAACTTTGATTTAATAAAATCTCTGTACAGCAAAAGTGTGGTGAAAAAAATTCAATTCAATTCAAAATTGCTTTGCATGACTGTACATCATACAATATTGCCAAAGCTTGGAATACAAGAATAATTATAAAGACATCAACATAGTAAAATAATATAGCATTTTAAATTGATTGTACAAATTAACAGTGTAAAATAAATAAAATGGAACCGTTTATGAGCATTTAAAAATTCTGTGAAGAATTTAGAAAAACAATGTGTATGAGTGTGTGTGCATCACTGATTGGTCGTCGACTCTCTTTTTGTGACAAGCATCAATGTATCTGGCTGCTAGTGTGATACAATCTCTTTTTTCACCTAATAGATGTTGTAATTGTGTTTTGTTATTTAATTGCATGAATTTAGGGGTAAAGTATTTCACATTTTGTGTAAAAAGTCCCTCTAATGTCCTCATAGTTGGGGCAGCTGGTGAGGAAGTGTTGCTCAGTCTCCACTCGGTCTCTCCCGTATTCACCCCAGCAGTTTTTCCTTGTTTAAACACTTCTTGAAATAATGACCTGCTCTTTCTTGCTATGTTGGAAAACATTGCTTTTGTCTTTCTTGCTCGGGGATTCAAGACCCTAAACAAGATATAGAACCATTTAAGTCTTTCATCTGAGATTACGGTTATTTCCTGTAAATGTACAGTACACTTGCTGTGAGCTGTTCTCTTTCTGCAGGCCTGGCTCACTGAGATTAATGAGTTCGCTCAGCAGAACGTCGTGATCATGCTTCTGGGGAACAAGGTGAGTAAAGTATATCTTGAAATACTACAGATACATCACTGTGTCCTGATCTGAAACCTTATGACCTTTCTGTATTTGGATTAGCCATGCATGTAGAACACCAGTTCGTAAATAAGTTATATAGAAAATATTGATTAGAAATCAAAGCTAATACATAATGCATTGTTTATTGGTTGATTTTTCAGGCTGATGCCACTCATGAAAGGGTTGTGAAGCGAGAGGAGGGTGAGAAACTGGCCAAGGTGTGTTATATTAGCACACAAACACACTTGCACAGTCATGTAGACATAAAAAAACCCTGAATTTATTGGTGTAAAATCTTTTTAATGAGGTAAATGCAGCTTTAAATCACAGCTTCCTCGGAATGGTCCGGAATTTGGTGACTTTGTTGGTATTTGGTATTTGAACACCCTAAAAAATTAGGGACAGGATGTGAATAGTCTAAGTGGTTGTAAAAAAAAAAAAACACGTCACACTTGGGGTGTTTGGGTCCAAATGGACCCGCATGGAAAATTAATGGGAAATTGGCAAAAATGTGAAAATACTGAATACTGTACTGTTTTTTGTGTGCGTACAATCTACAAATCAGCCACGATCTTGAAAAAAGCACACAACAGTGAAGGGGTGAATCTATAAAACATCAAAAGTACAAAACAGACACATCCAGATACACACAAACACACTTTTATACACAAACACACCAAAAAAAATTGTGTTTTGCATTTTTAAAATGCTCAGTCTGTCCACCAGATGGCATCCATCTCATTTCAAAAATTGCTTTTATGAGGCCTAGGCTTGACTCTAAAATGAAATACAGCTTAAAAAAAAAAAAAAAAAAAAATTTAAAATATTTTTTCTATTATGTTCAATGGGAGGAAATTTTGTCATAATTATTGCATTAATACTAATTATATATTTTTTTTTTTTCATTTTTGAAATTTTCTCAAAACACAAAAAAAGAAAAGAAAAAAATATTCAAAACAAGTAAAAAAAAAATCATGATTTTTTTTTTTTTTAAATATAAATCCCGCCCTTTGGGTCCGTTTGGACCCGAACACCCCGAGTGTGACTCTGAAACGAACAACCCCAGAGGGTTTAAAGGACTTCTGAAGCACTGATCTCACTGTTTGTAAATGTGATATGCATTATGTCTATGGATCATTTGTGCATGCATATTGTAATAAGACAAATGTTGTCTTTCTCTCCACAGGAGTATGGCGTTCCCTTCATGGAGACCAGTGCAAAGTCAGGTCTGAATGTGGAGTTGTCCTTCACTGCTGTGGCAAAGTAAGTCACTCGCTAAATCTGTGCATGATAAATAGAGCCGAGAATATCACAGTCTTATTGGCAGCGCACAACATCATCAGATTTGCCACAACATCTAAATAAATGCACACACACACACACACGTGGCAGACGATGCCTTTCCAAATTCAGGACAATTTCGAAACGTAACTACAAGACTTCATTAAATACATTTGCATGCACAAAAAGCTGCATCTCATTCATTAAACCACCCGTAATCCAATTTAAGTCATGCTAAATATGCATTTACATTTACAATACATTTAAGAAGTCTTTTATGCTCGCCAAGGCAACATTGATAATAATCATAAATGTTTCTTGATCATCAGATCCTCATATTAGAGTGATTTGTGAAGGATCATGTGACTCATGATGCTTTGATCACAGGAATAAATTACACTTTACTGTATAATCACATAGAAAACTGATGATTTAGATTATAATATTATTGCACTGTTTAAATGCATTTTTATCAAATAATTAAAGCCTTGGTGAGCAGGAAAAAAACATTATTATTCCAAAAATAATGACCTGTAGTGTAAACATACAGCAAAAGTTTATCGGCAGTGACTCACAATATGCATCATGTATAATGTCTGTATATTCTGCAATATACAATAAATATGCGTTGTGTAGAGTAACTCGCACATGTAAATGCAGTTTCTCTGTGTAAATGAGTGTAAAATGAACAAAATCCCAAACTTAGTGTAGTTAATGTGTGTTGAGAAAGCGTCGGGAAGTGAAGGCCAGATGAAGTCGCCAGTGATGGAGATAAATGTTCTGCTTACGGAGATTTCTCTTTACATTTACAATATTTTATGCAAAAGTGTGTCAGTATTTCAATAATCAAGGCCAGAATACCATCTAAACACCAATTACACTAATCAGTTTGAGGGCAAGCACTTGTTTTACGGTAAATGACGAGTGTGTTATTCACAAAATGGACATTTTTGTTTTTTGCCTGATGCAATTAATGTTGCAGCCGTGGTAGAAGCAACTGATTAAACGAGTATTTCACTTTTGCTGATAATTTACTCGCCCCCATGTCATCCAAGATGTCCACGTCTTTCTTTCTTCAGTCGAAAAGAAATTAAGGTTTTTGATGAAAACATTCCAGGATTTTCTCCATATAATGGACTTCAATGGGGTCCAAACGGTTCAAGGTCCAAAAGAGAGTTTCAGTGCAAACTACAAACTGTTCAAAGGGCTTCAAACGACACCAGACGATGAATAAGGGTCTTATCAAGCGAAACGATCACTCATTTAATAAATAAATAACAAAGTTTAAGTTTTATAATTTTAAGTTTTTTATAATTTTGCTAATTTTGATGAACGAGTTCGAACAGGAGAGTCACGAACGCGCATCACAGAACAGAGCAAGGCGAGCATTTGAGCTTAAAAAACTGAAACTTTTGTATTTATTTTAAATGAGCGATCGTTTCGCTAGATGAGACCCTTATTCATCGTCTGGAATCGTTTAAAGCCCTTTGAAGCTGCACTGAAACTGTCTTTTGGACCTTAAACCGTTTGGTCCCCATTGAAGTCCATTCATCCTGGAATGTTGGAAAATCCTGGATTGTTTTCATCAAAAACCTTAATTTCTTTTCGACTGAAGAAAGAAAGACGTGGACATCTTGGATGACATGGGGGCGAGTAAATTATCAGCAAAAGTTTTTTTTTTTTTAAAGTGAACTACTCCTTTAATAATGGAGAAAAACATGCTGTTGGATCACAGATGCTAAAGTACATCAGATTACAGTAATCACACGGTGTGTTTGCATCATTACCAGGTGTTCCTAATTCCTTCATTGAATCTTGTGCTTAAATGTGTGCTGATAAACCTCAGGCGTTGAGTTTTCCTGAGGATTGTGCTGTTTCCCTCAGGGATCTGAAGCACAGGGAGATGAAGGAGCCGAACGAGCCCAAGTTTCAGCTGCAGGAGTTTGTTAACAAGGAGATGAAGGGAGTCGGATGCTGTCGCTCATAAACCCGTCTCATTGTCTGTGTGTTTCCACTCTTTCATCCTCTTCTCCCGCATAAATTGGAGGCTGTCAGATATTCGGTGTCTCCGGAGACTTTCATTTTCAAACGCTGTATTTTTTTCTTTGGACCTTCATGCTCTTCACAGCTCGCAAACAGAGAAGCAAGCCGTCAGCATATTTACATTGATAAACACGGGGAAGAATGATGTTCAGTCCTGCTTTCTGACCCGCCGCCTCAAGCAGATGTGAATGTGTTTATCTCAACGTTTGCTTCGGTGTATCGCATCATCACTGCTTTACTTCTGGTGTGTGTGTTAGAAGGTAAAACACACAGAGAACTGAGGCGTAAAATCAGAATCTGTGCTTTCAGTCTCATTCATGCTAATTGAGTCCTGAGGCACTTTCTACACACTTAAAGGAGTAGTTCACTTTAAAAAACACTTTTGCTGATAATTTACTCGCCCCCATGTCATCCAAGATGTCCATGTCTTTCTTTCTTCGGTCGAAAAGAAATTAAGGTTTTTGATGAAAACATTCCAGGATTTTTCTCCATATAATGGACTTCAATGGGGTCCAAACGGTTCAAGGTCCAAATGAGAGTTTCAGTGAAGCTTCAAAGGGCTTTAAACGACACCAGACGATGAATAAGGGTCTTATCAAGCGAAACGATCGCTCTTTTAATAAATAAATAACAAAGTTTAAGTTTTATAAGCTCAAATGCTCGCCTTGCTCTGTTCTGTGATGCACGTTCGTGACTTTCCTGTTCGAACTCGTTCATCAAAATGAATAAATCTTTTTTCGAGTCATTTGGTTCATTCAACAAATGAAATTAACGAATTGACTCGAAAAAAGATTTGTTCATTTTAATGAACGAGTTCAAACAGGAGACCCAGACAGCAAACTGACATTGAATCAACGTGGAAACGACGTCTCTCATGACATCGAAACAACGTTGATTTTGCTCATCGAATTAACGTTGAACCAACGTCAGACGCGGCATTCTTCAAAGTTAAATGAAATCGAAAATTGGTTTGCTTTCATAACGTTGAAACAACGCGTTGATTTCAAGTTGATTTTCCGTTAGTTTTGAAAGAATGACGTCGGTTCAACGTTAATTCGATGAGCAAAACAATGTCAGATCAACGTTGTTTCGATGTCATATTTCCACGTTGATTCAATGTCAGTCTGCTATCTGGGGGGTAAACATCCAACAAACAATTGGTAGTTGATTAAAGAAATGGTGTTAAAAGGCACAACTTAAATGTCAAAACTAATGTCCAAGTAGGGTTCAATTGATTCAATAGCGTTTCGATAGAAAAGTAAAGAACTGTATGCTTGTACTTTCCAAAAGCTTCCTTGTTCTTTTCTTGTGTTTTAAAAAGTGAGAGGCGGCCATCTTTTTATTCAAACTTTCTCACCAACTGTCAAAATAAAAGTCCCTACAAAATAAAGGATCCTAAATCTAACAAAACATTCCAGTGCTCCAATAGCACAACAATTTAGATTAAACTAAACTCAAAATAGCTCCAACACACACACACAGAACAGAGCAAGGCAAGCATTCATGCTTATAAAACTTAAACTTTGTTATTTATTTATTTATTAAATGGCCGATCGTTTCGCTTGATAAGACCCTTATTCATCGTCTGGAGTCGTTTAAAGTCCTTTGAAGCTGCACTGAAACTCTCATTTGGGCCTTGAACCGTTTGGTTCCCATTGAAGTCCATTATATGGAGAAAATCCTGGAATGTTTTCATCAAAAACTTTAATTTCTTTTCGACTGAGGAAAGAAAGACGTGGACATCTTGGATGGCATGGGGGTGAGTAAATTATCAGCAAAAGTTTTTTCAAAAGTGAACTACTCCTTTAATGATGTGTGGAAAAGTGGTAAAATTATATTAGGGAAATTATGCACATCTTTCTGTTTTTAAAGCCGTTTTTGGCCAGACTTTCTCTTTTTAGTGACCAAACCATCTCACATTCCTCTAAGGCTCATCGAGGTCATGAACATGTGGAACTTTTCTCTTTATATTATGGACGCTTGTTTCCGCCACAGAATAAAAAATAAAAAAAGGTAGTTGCGACTTTTTATCCCACAGTTATGCCTTTTTTTTAAATATCTTACAATTCTGACTTTATAACACGCATTTGAGAGTTCATATCTCACAATTCTGACCTTATAAGATGAAATTGCGACTCTATATCGTGCAATTCTGACTTCATATCTCCCAATTGCGTGTTATAAAGTCAGAATTGCGAGATGTAAACTCGCTATTGTGAGAAAATAGTCCGAATCGTGAGATAAAGAAGCTTGTCTCTGCCACAGAATAAAACATTTTAAGATAATTGCAACTTTTTATCTCACAAGTTTATCTCTCACAATTCTGACTTTATTTATAGGAATTATGAGATATAAAGTCAGAATTGTGTTTTATAAAATCAGAATTGCGAGATATAAAAACAATTCTGATTTTTTTAAAGTTTATTACTTGGCATTCTGACTATAACACACAATTGTATACGTATATCTCGCAATTCTGACATCTTTTCTCTGAATTGTGAGATATAAACTCACATCTGCAAGTTTAAGTCCAATTCTGAGCGGAAAAAAGACTAACTTAATCAAATTTTTCATCCATGTTAAAATATTTTGTAATGTCACATGATCTGTTCATTATGGAAGCTTGTTTCCACCACAGAATAAAAAAATAAAAAAGGTAATTGCGACTTTTTATCTCTGCCCTTTTTTAAAATATCTCCCAATTCTGACCTTATAACATGAAATTGTGACTCTATATCATACAATTCTGACTTCATATTCACATTCATCTCCCATTTGCGTGTTATAAAGTCAGAATTGCGAGATGTGAACTCGCAATTGTGAGAAAATAGAATCGTTTTTTTTTTTTAATTCTGTAGCGGAAACAAGCTTCCAAAATGATCATGTGACCTAATAAAATGTTTTATCATGGATGGAAAGTTTGATTAAGTTAGTCAAAAGAATTACTCATCCATATACATTAGGCTCTTTACACTTTCAGAAACACACACACACACACGCGCTCACATACGCTCCATACACTGTAAAAACGAATACGATTTTTCTAATCAAAAAAATTGTGGCAACAGATTACAAGCAATATTACTAATTAAATTTAACAAATTAGAATTGAGTAATAATTAATCAAATTAGTTAACCATTTAAAATGACTAAAACTTACAACAACAACAACAACAACAAACAAACAAAAAAGTACATTAAGTCACCATTATGGTGATCAGTGTTTGTTTGAAAATGACGGTTTTCTCCTTCAGTGATTCTGCTCGTTAACATCACGTGTCTTCAATGTTGGCAATATAAAATAAAGAGTTCTTAATTAATCTTTGACGTCAGATATTTTTGGGTGTAAACTTTACTCATTTTAAATGGTTAACTTTTAAGGAATTAATTTGTTTAATTATTACTCAATTCTAATTTGTTAAATTTAATTAATAATATTGCTTGTAATCTGTTGCCACAATTTTATTGACTAGATAAAGCGTATTCATTTTTACAGTGTAATCATATTCTCGGTTGCACTTTATTTTACAGTCCTGTTGTGCATACTTATTACAGTAATTACAATAACTGGGTAATAACTACTAACCTTGAACCTATAACCTAAACACCTGTAGTTTACGTGTACTTACAGTGAACTTATTACCCAGTTAATATAATTACTGTTATAATGCACATTGCACAACAGGTCTGTAAAATAAAGTACAACCATATTCGCTCGTCATTTTTATTTGTCAATGTCCGTTAATAAAATATAAACTAATGGGAAAAATGAATGTATGTAATGTACATATGAAAAATATCATATGGCGCTTAGTTTGCATAATACAGTACATGATTGATGTTTTCTTGAATGCCTTACATTTTTGTCCTGTTCACTAAATATATAAGCTTTAACTAGAAATTAGTTGCTTTCAGTGATGTTCAGGATGTGCCAGAATTTAACGATTGATGTTAGCGTACTGTAGATCGTTTACTAGCCTACTGTATATCGTGCTGTAGAAATATTTTCATGTGAAGAGTTTTGACCTGGAGAGTACTATGCCTTTTGCACTTTTGTTCTCGTTGTTTTTATGTTGTTGTTCTTATTTTTTATATCATATCTGGAACTAATGGAAGAGCAGTATTTAACCTGAAAGTAATATTTTGTTGTTCATAAAATTTGTACTGATGTGCCATTTTTAACAGCTCAGAGAATAATAATCACAAATCAACTAATGTATATAGCCTAAGATAAACTCAGTTTATTTTCCCCCCATGATGGAATTACATGATATCACAGAAATGACAAGCAATGATATACAGAACTTTTTTCTATTGACCTCCACGTTGTTGTTGTTTTTTTTTTTTGAAGGTTTTTATGTAAAGTGTATTGTATTCCCTACAATAAAGTTGAATTCTGCATTGAAGTTTCATTAATATGATCTAACAGCGACACCTCGTGGACACAATATCATATTGCGTTACCAAAATTAACATGGAAACCGAAGTTCCATTATTCCTTGTTTCTAAATTAAGCTTTGACTGTTTACAGATTTTACAGAGAGAGAGAGATATTAATTATACATTAATTAATTAATCCAAAGCCAATTACAAAGAAGAGAACAATACAATCAGAAGTAATTATTCCAAGCAATTGGACTACTCTTATTTATTGAAATGCCATAATCACTTTCAGCAGGTTAAATATGATAAACAAGCAGATGACGCTATATTGAACAGCATTTGAACAAGTCATTTACAAAACGTACGAAATTTGGCTAGCAAACAGCACATTTCTTTTTATGTAGGCTATTTATAATGGTAAGTAGTCTATAGTAGCCTAAACTATAAAGTTTTCTATTCAAAATTAACAAAATGTATTAATTATTCAAATGCATTATCGATGCTTCTCATCTTTACATAATACTGCGCCACTTGCATCATTAAGCCAGAGGGTGGCGACAAGACTGTCTTTTTGAGTGAGCCATTACTTAAATTACCAAACATAGATTAATTTAGGAAAGAAAAGTAGCTGAAACTGAAACTGATTCTCATGTTTGAGAATCTGATCAAATAGGCTACTTCATGCTTTTAAAGCTACTGTTGTCAATTTTTTTGACCATCAAAACACCTTAAAATGCTCATTTCGAGATCAGGAAAATCTAAATTTTCTCGAGGGGGCATTTCCCTGAACCCCCCAACAATATCATTTATGGGACCTGGGTATTGTGCGGCCCTGATATGCAAGAATACTGATTCTATGTGTTCTATTGTATTTATTATACTCTATTCTATAGTCTTGCATATTGAATAGTACTACTAGTCTTTCATGTCACTGTTTATAACGCAGAGCGTTCATCCTTTGCTGTGACGCTTAAAAAAATATTGGGGGGATAAATTAAGAGTATGCCCACTTCTCCAGGCACCACTACATCACTGGTTATGCCCTCAAAGATTTTGAAAACTCAATAAAAATTAAAAAAAAAGGAAAAAAGTTATGCCCTCAAAGATGGCGTCTATGGGGAGGTCACGTGTGACAGTTTTTCATATGAGGTTAACTGCAAGACAGAAATTAAAAATAAAAAAAACCCCAAAAACTGCAAGACAGATATCAAACTTCACTTTAAATAAGATTATTTTCATCCTACTAAGAGAAACGATGTGTGTGGGCGTTGGCCGTCTGCCAAAGCGTCCTCTCGCTGCCCTGCCCTGTGACATCATAGTAGCCTCCGCTGCACTTCACTGTCTCTCCGCTTGGTTTCGAACGTCTTTGGAAGAACATTGAATTTGTGAAACTTGCACGGTATTGTACTTTTATACCTCCAAACATCAAGGAAAGAAGAAGCAGATGACCCACCGTTCTGTGAAACTTGCCGTGAACTGTATTAATCAGAATAGCTGGACCGTGTCCGACGACGACAAGGTAACTTAAGGGGTTATAATTGCTTTTTTTAGTAACGTTGTTTGATATAGCGTGAAATTTAACTAAGTTAGTGCAAAGTGCCCGAACAAAATCAGTTTTTGTGTGTTTTAGTAATTGTTGGTTTTTATGTGTTTATGTCAGAAGGATTATTTTTGAACCACAACCTTCTAAGTGCTTCTTATATAGATATTTACTGATATACACTACCGGTCAAAAGTTTTATATCGGTAAGATTTTTTAATGTTTTTAAAAGAAGTATCTTCTGCTCACCAAGGCAGCAATTATTTGATAAAAAATACCCCAAAAAACAGTAATATTGTGAAATATTATAACAGCGGTCTATGTGAATGTATAGTGAAGTGTAATTTATTCCTGTGATCAAATCTGAATTTACAGCATCATTACTCCAGTCTTTAGTGTGACATGATCCTACAGAAATGATTATAATATGATGCTCAAGAAACATGATTATTATCCATGTTGAAAACAGTTTTTTACATTTTTATTTCAGGATTCTTTGATGAATAGAAAGTTCAAAATAACAGAATTGATCTGAAATGGAAAGCTTTTGTAACATTAATCACTACTATTCAAAAGTTTGGGGTTAGTTAGAATTTATTTTTTATTTTTTTGGGGGGGGGGAAATGGTACACGACTGTTTTCAACATTGAAAATAATAATTTAGGTTTTTTGAGCATAAAATCAGCATATTAGAATGATTTCTGAAGGATCATGTGACACTGAAAACTGATGCGTAATCAGCAACAGTAATGATGTTGAAAATTCAGCTTTCAAATTACATTTTAAAATACATTAAAATAGAAAACAGTCATTTTAAATTGTCATAGTGTTTCACAATATTACTGTTTTGTCATTTTTTCATCAAATAAAGCAGCCTTGGTGAGCAGAAAAACATAAAAAATCTTACTGATCTAAAACTTTTGACCGGTAGTGTATTTTGCGTTTATAGCTAATCCAAACAACGTAAAACTCGTCACTGCACCCGTAGCAAGACACCAGTCAAATCTGAAATCCATCACACACACACAAACACACACACACACACGTTCCTGTAATTTTTAGATAGATTTGGGCCGCTCAGTTTGAGTTATATGAGTTATATGTTGATTGATGTTGTTCTGTCTCTGTTTCAGTTGAGAATGGCCATCAAACTTCCTGCGATCACTAAAGGACTGGTGGACAACAGGAACCATCGCCCACAGCTCAGGTGTGTGTGTGTGTGTGTGTGCTCAGACGTCAGTGTGTAGCTTGTTAACATAGTAACTCAGCGAGGTGTTTATTTGAGCTGCGTCTCGTGTATATATAAAACATCTAAACAAGATGTAGAAATTATTTTGAAATAAAATAAAACATTAAAAAAATATTCTATTTAATTTGACAAGTAATAAAAATATTATTTATGTTATGTTATGATAATGTTATATATCTGGTTTTACAGTGTAAACACACAGAGAAAGAAGGAGGAGCTCCTACAGCTGACTCAGGGAAAGCAGTGGATCAACCAGCCAATCATGACGCAGGAGTCAGATCCCAGGAGGGACCGTAAAATGGTAAGTACTTGACCGAGCTTTATTTTTAAAGAAACAACAAAAAAAGCATTTAAGGCTTAAGTTATCGAGATAAAAATCAACCCGATTTCAAGGGGGGACCAGATTTGTCAACACAACAGCTTCTCGAACAAGAAAAAATGTAGAATGGCGGTGAAAACACAAACCTGCCAGACATTAAGGGGTTTTATGCAACACTTATCGCTTATTAAGGGATTACTTAAATAAAAAAACAGCATTTATGGGAAATTCTAAGTGTGTATGACGTTACACTTGATTGACATAGTACACCATTTTAAAGGGATAGTTGATTAGCAGTTGTAAATCATTTATTTATTAAACAGGTACCATATATCTATTTATCTGTTTATTTCTTCATTTTTCATTTCTGCAGGTTTCGACCTCCACGAAGCTGAAGCCGTCAGCTCTCATACCGATGAAGGATTGGGAAGAGCGGCACCAAAAAAATATGCATCGACAAATGGTATGAGGGAAAACATTTTGAAAAACAGTTTGTGAATAGGCTACTACGAATGATGGCCGTGAATAAAATATAATATTCAATAGTAAACATGTTAGAAATGTTAGTAACCATAGCTGATATAAATAAGTTTGTTTAATTTGATTTCAGCTGATGCTTATTGTTCTGTCACTCTCTCTCTTTCTCAGCTGATGAAGGCCAAACCTGCAGTCGACGCCAAGGGCCCCGAAACACTGCCGCTTATTAGAGGCATTCGGACGAAAGTCCAGGTATCTGATTAATTCATATAGTTATATTAGCTGTATAATTATATATATATATATATAGCTCTATAACAGTACAATTGAATATCTATTTATCTGTTTATTTCTTCATTTTTCATTTCTGCAGGATTCGACCTCCACGAAGCTGAAGCCGTCAGCTCTCATACCGATGAAGGATTGGGAAGAGCGGCACCAAAAAAATATGCATCGACAAATGGTATGAGGGAAAACATTTTGAAAAACAGTTTGTTCGTAGTAGGCCGTGAATAAAATATAATATTCAGAAGTAAACATGTTAGAAATGTTAGTTACCATAGCTGATATAAATAAGTTTGTTTAATTTGATTTCAGCTGATGCTTATTGTTCTGTCTCTCTCTCTCTTTCTCAGCTGATGAAGGCCAAACCTGCGGTCGATACCAAGGGCCCCGAATCACTGCCGCATATTAGAGGCAATTGGACGAAAGTCCAGGTATTTGATTAATTCATATAGTTATATTAGCTGTATAATTATATATATATATGTATAGCTCTGTAACAGTACTGTTGCCGATTACAGTGATGTGTTTGAAGTAACGTGGAGTAGATGAAATGCATGATAATAACAGTGTTTGTCTTCAGTTGCAGAAAGAAAGGAAGATCTCTCTCGAAAACCAGCAGAACGAACAGCGAATCCTGATGCTGGAGTCAGATTTCAGGAGGGAACGCTGGGAAGCTGAGTGGGAACAGGTCCAGCGACGGAGAGACCACTGCGCACGGTTTCCCCGAGGAGAGACCAACAAACAGGTATGATCGTAATTCACACTTTTCTTCTTCATTTTCTCGCCTTCATCATGTTTCCAACCCTTCTGTGAAACACAATAGCACACATTTTGGATGCTCACGCCGCTCTTGTTAATGCCTGTGAAAAACGGCATGTCAAGTGGGTTCGAAATTGTTATTTCAAAGCCCTAAATGTGGCTCCTCAGGACTTGAGCGAGATTTATTTTTAAAGAGGCCGTTTTACAACACAAAAAACATTGAATATNAAAATAATAAATATTATAATTATATTATATTAATAGAATTTATGTTGTACTATAATTTATATTATACACTAATTATTTCATGGATGTAAAAATAGTTCAGCTAGTGCAGTAAACGAGACCGAAGCGTTTAATTGTGATTGGCCTCCTTTATGATTCATTTCTTTAGTTAGTTTCTATATAAAATGAGTCGGCCTAAAGTTGCTTCTGTGCTCTACACTGTCATCACATCACGTGACCATTTTAAGAATCATTTGTGTGTGTTGTGAAGGATACGAGGCTCAGCGGAAACACACACTGAAGCTTTCATGTGGATCTGCAGCACCAGGGGGCGCCGGAGAGCCGCTAAACACGCCGTATGAGTGTGTGTGTGTTGTGGAAAAGTGTGATGACAAAGCGGGCTCTGTACGGGCTGCGTTTCCACGGCGATGGGAGAGGCGAGTCTGAGCAGCGAATAGTGCGTCTTTGTGGCGTCCCAGACACACACACACACACACATGGCGTAATTACGTGCTGCTTCCTGTGTTGTAATCATGGCTGGCTGTTTGTGCGTCTATGTGGCCCTAAACACCGTGTCTTAGAGAAAAAACACTCTAGACCACTGCAGATTTACTCTTATAAACCTCACCTGAGTCTCCTGAAGGAAGAGAACCATCCTTCAACTGGTTTAGCGAACAAATACACACACCAGCAAACGCACACCAGCAAAAGCACACACACACACACACACACACCAGCAGGAAGGAGAAATGTTTCATAGTTTCTCACTGAAATTAAATGGAAGTCTCTATGTTATGTTTCTCTATTGTATTTCTGCTGTATTTCATTTCAGAGTGTATTTCTGCACAGGAATCAGAGGAGGAACATCTGAGATATAGCAGAAGGTACACTGTAAAAAAAAAATGATGGTTTAACTTAAAAAAGTAAGTAACCTGGTTGCCTTAAAATTTTCAGTTCATTGAACTGGAAAAAGTAAGTTAATACAATGAAGGACAATTATTTAATCATCAGAAACTCAAAATTATATGTTTATCTGAACTAAATAAATTATTTAAGTTGATTTGACAAAAGAAAAAAAATTTGTTGTGATAACAAATCTTCAAAATATTTTTTTACAATGTATTAGTGGACCGCTAGCTAAGGGTTGGGTTAGTAGTGTAGTTGCAAAGTTACTGAAGTTCATTTGTTTCAGTAATTCACCTTAAAAAGTGGAACTAATATATTATATAGACTCATTACATGCAAAGTGAGATATTTCAAAGCCTTTATTTGTTATAATTTTGATGATTATGGCTTACAGCTTATGAAAACTAATTTTGATAGAATTATAATTTTCAAAAGCTGTGAGCCATAATCGTCACAATTATAACAAATAAAGGCTTTGAAATATCTCACTTTGCATGTAATGAGTCTATATAATATATTAGTTTCACCTTTAAGGGTGAATTACTGAAATAAATGAACTTTTGCACAACATTCAAATTTTTCGAGTTACACCTGTACAGTAGACCATCGAAATAAATTGTAACTGAATTAATAACTCCGTTAACGAAGATAAATAAATCCTAACGGAAGTATTTGTCATTGTTAGTAACTAACGAGGCCTTGAAATACTACCCAGAAAATCATTTCAACGTTCCCTCAGTTTGAACCATAGCCTGGGAAAACCCAGACAACTTCCGGCAAATTTAGATTTGCTCTGCAAGTTAGTCTGGCAAAGAGCACATTCAAACCCATTTCTAATCCGCCGAAATCGCGGCACCAATCAGAAACGTTGGGGCGGGCTTTACACGATGACGACGGTGAAGCAGATTTTGTACATTCACAAAGGAGTATGACGGTTATAGTTGAACACCGCCATTAGAACTCTATAATTGCCAAAACCATGTTATTAAAATATTTTTTATCATAGAGAATGTTTAAATACTAACATCAGCTTACGAAGTAAACGGAGGCCGAGTTAGTGCTGCTTTAAAGACTGCTGCTACTGCTGGAGATGATTGGGGAGAGGTCTGTGCACTTTTACCGATCAGAGCGCGCGCTGACACGGAGTAAATATGGAAAGCCATATGGTTCACATTTCGCCACTTTCCAAACGCGTTTCATTCTCAAAACGCCGGTGTTTACGGCGTTTAACACGAAAAGACGCCGCAAATTACGGCGTATTGTGGTACAAACGGCGTAAATTACGGCGTTTACAAAGCAAACTCGCCGTCATTTTCGGCGTTTTTTAATCCAGCCAATGACGCCGTTTCTGACGCCACAGGCCATCCACAGTGCGCCGTCAATTGCGGCGCTTCTGTCTGACAAAGACGGCGTAAAAAGCGGCGTTTTGTATAATATTATAATCAGCCCAACCCTTTTCTTCAAAGTTCAGCCCATCTAATGAAGTGAGGTTTGGTGGAAAGACATATGTAGTAGATTGTCGATCTGAATAGCGATCCGTCTTTAAGGTTCTGTTTTTGGAATGTTATCCTGTCATATTTTTATTTCTTCATTGGGCACGTGTAGGCTATCGCTTTTTAAAAAGCACGATAAAGGAAATTTCCTTTGTCGTATGTAGATATAGTATGATCTTAGCCTCTGTTTGCATTCATGTCTGTGAAATACATTAGATTACCCAACAAACTTTATATCTTGAGTAGGGCAGTGGACTGCGTGCCAGCATACAGTGTCGTTTTGCTCTTGGTGACAGAGGTTCGACTCCCATGTCCGACTCTATTTTTATCTTCTTCGTTTCTTTTGTATTGGTCTGTTGAATGCCTTTTAAATTTCGGAAGATTACCCGATAGCTGACAACCGATTGAGTAAATGACAGCAGAGGCTGTTTTAAAGCCCGCTTACAGTGGCTGTTGATGTGGGTCCCTTTATTGCTGATTATAATGATGTGGGCAGATGCTTCACGATATAGTCCATTTCGTTTTTTAAGATCATAAGACTCTGGAGTTTTAGCAGTTCCCAGGATACACGAAAGGAGGTAGAGCCTTCCTAAACGAAACAACTATTAAAACAAGAGACGACGCTCCAGCCCAAGCGCGGACTACCGCTGCTCTCGACCATACAAGATAGGCTAGATATTTCACATAAAAATGATTTATCACGCTGCCCTTGCCAAAATAGATAGGCCTACATAATTGCTAACGGTGAATAATAGGCTATATTTTGAACTACCATTTATTCTGATGTATATTATAACGATTATATGACGGGTTTTTTATTTTTATTTTACTATTTGCTGCCATATAGGCCTACATATTATTTTCTCGCAATAACTAGATCTTATTTTGTTAAAACGATTTTTTTTTCGCGTATTAACAAGATGTTATGTGTTGAAACTTCATATTTTCTTGGCCTTATATAAGGACGTGTCATGGCTACAAAATATGCCTTATCCACATTTTTTTAATTATCCACATAAAATGTAGCCTATAGCCTATCACGCCATGATCTATCACACTTCTACGTTCAAAAAGCTTAAGCAAATAGTAGCAGCCCCAAATTAGGCGAACAATAGGGGCCCTATAGGCAAAATTAATAAATGAGGCGCCTTTTAAAAATATAGATTTTATATAGGCTATTTACGATCAACTTAGGCTTTTTGTTGCTTTTGGGAAACCCAGCCATGCCCGGGTTTCCCAATAACGATGGATTATCTAAGAGCGCTCTCTACACTCTTAGAATAAACGGTTCTATATAATAGAACCTTAAAAGGTTCCATCAGCGCTATACTATTTAGGAATCCCTAAAAGGGTTCCAAGAACCTTTTTCCAAAAAAAAAAAAAGGTTCTATATAGAACCATTTTGGAGTTCCATATATGAAGCGGGGGATGGAACCATTTCTGGTTCTAAATCGAACCATTTCTTCTAAGAGTGAACGTGCAAGGTTACGAACGCTCTCCGCAATTCCATGCGCGTTTCCCAAAAATGCACTTAACATGAAAGCGCGACAGAGTCGCTGTCTATTCGCGAAGTTCTGAAAGATTACCTTATATGGAATCGTTTTATGAACGTTTAACCTAATAATCGTCATTTGTTGTGGATTAGAAATCAAGACAAGTCTATGGATATAAAACGCCTATAGCCTACTGGCAAAATGGCTGAACTAAAACAAGAGAAGATATAAGTTTCAAAAAGATAAAATTAATGTCCTTCTAGAGGAGATAGAGGGAAACAAAGATTTTATTTTAACAGATTTAAAGGACACCATCAGGGGCGAAAATTTCATCAAAATGTTGGGGGGACAATAAACATAACAATTCTCAAGAGCAAATTTTGAAGGGGACACCAATAATACAGGCCAAAAAATACAGAGGAAAGCCTTACTTTTAGTGTAGCATGGAGACCATTTTTATTATACTTCTTAAAATTTCTTTCTGGTTTAAGCCAGCGGCGAATCTGTTTACATACTCTCCTCACGCAGCGCAGCGATTTCATTTCATTCATTGACTAATTCTTTAACTATATTAAATGATATAAACCAACTAAATCACAGTGAAAGCGTTAGAATCTAAATGCACAGCGCACCCGGACTTTCTCATCAGTGTATGGCCAGCAATATTGTAATGTTTAATGACATGAAGATAGTGGTTATTATTGTTATGTACAATTAAATACAATCGTTGCTGAGTCTGCGGTCTGAAAACTTCACCTCAGAGCATCCGTTAACTGAATTGAGAATCTTACCTGAAAAAATCCAATAACATCAGCAATTGTCATTCAAGCAGCTGATTTCTGTAAATGAATGCAAAAGCAAAACTAAATGTATATTGCAGCATAGGGCGAAGTCAG